TTTGATTCTTCTTTGATAGAGTAAGAAACACTTGATTTGTATTGTAATTTTTTATTTTTTATTTTTTTATTTTTTTATTTTGAAATTGTTTCAAAGAGTGATGAGGAGGTAAAAAAGTGTTGTAGGCTTTGGATTTGAAGTAAAAATACATTTGATAGAAAATACAACAATCTTTATAATATGGTACAAGATTAGTTAAAATATTTTAAGAAATTTGTAGAAGTATGTGGTTGGTGGCTTAAGAGCTATGCTATGTTATGTGATTTTCTATGAAGCTTTCAAAATAGTTTAGAAATTAAGCCATATAATATAACTTAGACTACAAATCTTTTCAAGAAGCTTCTTGAATGACTTCTTGAGACTTCTCTAATAAGTCATAAATTAGCTTATGTAGTAAGACATGAAAAGCTTCAATTCTAAGCCTTTGCTCTTCCAAGTATTATAAATAAAGACAAGAATACAACCTTCTTTAGTCTTATCAATCCATCTCTTTGATTAGTTTATTTTGTAATCTTTAGGCCCTATTGATGTTTTGATTGTCTCTCTAATATTTTGTCAAGAAATGTTTCTTCATTGTATTTTTAAAACTTAGCAAGATGAGATCATGTGTTGAATAAAAAATAATAAAATAAATGATAAATCTAACAATACAAAGTAACATAGTAAAATATAAGCTAATTTATTATACCACAAATCTAATGTGACTTAGCATCCAATTTTGCATATCATAATATTGTTGGCTTTTCTAAGTTGTTCTGTTAAAATGTATTTATAATATCTAATGCTAACTTGCAATTGATTTCTTATTCCACTTAGTCTTTCTTTTAAAGGATTAGTCATAATGCATATTGTGGTTGTAGCGATAATTTGTTTGATTAATTATTGCCACTCTTTGTATTAATTCACATTACATGTGCTTGAGGTAGCAATGCCATGTGTGTATTCTTAAATAATTAAGCAATGTAAATAAAATATTATATATAATAAGTATTACAAAATACATTGGATTTTATTAATATTTTGAATTAGTTTTGACCATATTAAAGGATATTTGTTAGAATATCATAAATCAAATATTATTTAGAATAAAAATATTAATTAAAAAAAATATATGTAGACCAAAAATATGAGAGACATCAACAAAATGATCGATTTTATTTTATTTTTTAAAAGATTTTTGCAAAAAATATATAACTTTGAAGGTTTTTAAAAGTGTATATCTTTTATTATATTTAGATTCTATATTTTATACATGTAGTACATCCATTTTTTTTCCTTTTTAAAATAATAATAATAAAAATAATAAAACAAAATATACTTATAATTATGTTTTTAAAATTACTTACTTTATTATTATTATTATTATTAAAATAGATTAATTATGATATAAAAAAGAAAATGATACTAATTATTTATGTTTATGTTTATTTTATTTGAATTTATTATTAGAAAAAATAATAATAGAAATATGCATGTAATTAGGTTCAAAAACAATATATAATTTACAATTTTTAGGATTATGTACAACTTAAGATTGAATCATAGGATGGAGTTATTGATTTAAAAGAATACAATTTCTTAGATATTATAGTGGTTGTTAAAATAGATTGTTCACTTCTATTCAATATAATTTCTATTTTTTTTACTAAAATATTTTATATTAAGAATTATGCTAAAAATTATTATAATAAATGTATAATATTAAATTTTAAGAATAATGTATAAAAGAAACAAAAAAGTTGTATGTATATATATATATATATATATATATGGATACTAAAAAATCACAATGATAAAAATATTATAACTCATAGCAAGATATAAATACCAAATATTAATTGGATTTTAGTTTTAAGAATTGAAAGGTTATAGTTGGCTATGCTTTTTAGATTGTTTTTATAATATATTTACGATGGTGGATTGTTTCAAATAATAATATATTTAAATTTATTCTAAAAACTAAATAATAAAAAAGAATGTAGATTTAAGAAGATTCAAATAAAAACATATAGATGTTTTTTTTCATAAGTAGAGTTTTATAGAAGTATCTTAAGCAAAGGAACAAAATACTAAAACTGTTTGTAAGTAACATTTAAATTCAATAAGAGCTTATTAAAGAATTTTACAAGAGGTGGTGGATTACACATTAGGAATTTTCTTAAGAAATTACCAAACTATACATGGTAGAAGAGCATTAAAAAAAATTAAATTTTGTAATTTCTTATTATTCTTACTAAACATATTTAAACGAAAAACAAACTCATATTACTTAACCAATAGAAATTTATTTCAAGTAGATTACTTTCTTGACAGCAATAGATCTTTGCCAAAAATATATATATATATATATATATATATATATATATCACTTGTTAAAAATGATGTATTTATTATAAAAAAAAAAAAAAAAAAAAAAAAAAAAAAAAGGAATCATAATTAAACAATGATTTTAGAAGGATTGTTCTATGATTTTTAAAAGATGTTATTTTTTTCTAAATCTTTATTAAACATGATTCTGAAGTAACAAGTGGGATATCTAAAAATATATATGTTGAACTTGTGTTGATTTAAAATAACGATCCAAAAGCTAACAATAAGTGTAAACAAAAATAATAACTAATTTTAGAAATATCAATGAAAGTATATAAGTGCAAAGTAAGTAAATGGACTTGATATTTTTAGTCAAATTTATGTATTTTCTCTAATCAATATTTATGTTGGTTGTGATGATAAAATAAAATAAACATATTTCAAGTAATAATTTATTTTCTTCGTGCATTTGTGACATGGTGTTTATAATTATTATTTATTTATATTTACTTGAATATATATATATAGATATATATATATATATATATATATATATATATATATATATATATATGAGATCTTTAGTATATCAAAATTCATACAAAAATTAAAATGAATGAATATTAGAAAATTTCAAAAATCAGTATAATGGAGACTATCATTTTCAATAAATACAGTTGCAACCTCTAGATTTCTTTGACGATTTAAAATTAACCAGTCTGGGCTTTTTTGGATTAAAAAGAACTTTCATATCATATTTGTTATTTTTTTCCAAGTATCAATATTTGAATTAAGAAAAAATTATGGTTAAATAATCTACATATGTGTAAGCAATACATAAATTATTTATAAAATTTAGACAAGTAAAGAATCGGCACAAAGATATAAATAAAAATATATATTCTTTACTGGATACAAAATTGCAAAAAATATTTTATAAAAATCAAAGTAAATAAACTTCAATAACCTTACAATCATACAAAAATCACTTAATATTGTAAGTTACAATAAGAACTCATAAATCTTCAAACTGAATAAGTAAAATACAATATTATATATTTATCATAAGATTTTATTGACACATTTATAAAAAAAAAAAATCCTCTAAAATTAGTTATAAAGGTTTATATTTATCTTCATACTAACATTAGTTTATCACAAGTTAAATAAAACAAAATATTTAATTTATGTGACTTTTAGTCCAATTTATTTGATATATTTAAATGTGTTTATCTTTAAATCTAAATACAAAAATAAGCAAAAAAATCACCTTTATATTCTATAAATTATTCAAATCTTATTCCACCTCTTGAAGTTTCCAATGCTTCATCTCAATAGCGAAAAAAAAAAAAAAAAAAAAAAAAAAAAAACCTTCAAAAATTATTGTATAGAATTTAATATTTTTTATTATATCATTAGATTTTTAAATATATGTATATATATAGGGATATTTTTTGGTCTTTTTTAATTTTATCTTTTAAAATAATAAAATTTTATATTTTTTTAGTTTTTTTAAATTTTAATACCTTTCAAATAACTAGTAACGTTTTTAGGATCTTTCTTTCTATGCAATGTTATTTTGTTAAAATGCTTAGTAGTTTTTTTTTCATTTGGTAAAATTTCAAGATCTATATAAATTAATAAGAAATACCAAATACATCAATTTATATAGAAATTTCTGATATGTGCACAACAATTTTAAAACACTTTTAATTCACTTAAAAAACTAAAATTCTAGTAAAGTTTCATATAAATTATTATTAAAAATTTAAAAATAGCCATAATTTTAAAAATAAACTTAAATTTAAAATTATTATCATCAAATTAAATATTATTAATTATTTTATATAAATTAATTAAATTATAAATTTCAATTTAGATTGTACATTTATTTATAAAAAATTTTAATTAGTTACAATATATAATATATAAATATACTATTAACTATGATCAATTATAATATGTAAATATATTATCAAAAACAATTATAATATATAAATATTATTATCAAAAACAATTTTGTATATTTATATATTATAAAAAAACAGACAAATATAAAAAAATACAATTTGCAAAAGTTGTGCTATTACAGAAGCTTTTTTTACACAAATAACAGACAAAATAGTCTTTCTCATTAAGATCTGGTTACTAGTTACAAACAAGCAATAAAACTGAACATACATAAAAAAGTCAAAAAGGATTTGTGTATGTGTCTGTATATATATATATATATATATATATACTTACATGCTTGTGTTTTTGTGTGTATGTATAACATGATATATAATAAATTATAACATTTACTTTTGTTTTGTTTTGTTTTGTTTTGTTTTTTTTTTATGTCATAATTCTAAAAGTTTAAAAATCTAAATAAACTACTCAAGTGTCACTTTAGTTAAAACACGAGGTCACAACACTACAATGTTCAAATAGAATAAAATTTTATGGATCATGGAATGAGTTGTAACAATAAAATGAAGGAGCAGCGATTATCGATTATTTATTTTGATTTCTTCCTAAACCACCGTCGATATCTTACCAGTGGCTTATACAGGGGATCAAAGGAGGTGCACCACTGAGCCATCACAATACAGGGTCCTGGATGGAGCGATATCGGAATTAGGTCTCGCAAGCACCCTAGCAGGCGGTCATAGGGCCCAGGCCTCTCTCCCCTGGCAATCTCCCAAGTCAAACTTGTTTGCCGCAGCCATTGATTTGAAGCTCCGAGGAATTGAGTAATCGAATCGATTCATCGATCGAGTGCAATGCTCGCCATAGGTGCTGAATCGTACTCTTTCACGCGACAATCTGCTCCGATTACGCCGCTGTATCGAATGCAGTAAGTACGCTGGAGTGTATGTATCTGTTGACACCTTTTTTGCGAATTCTATTGCTTTGATCGTAGCTGATGTGATTTGAATGCTTAGTCGTAGTGGAATAGAACGATTTTTTTATTTTTTTATTTTTTTTTTGTGCGAGAGTGGCCGAGGTTGAGATTCGAGGCTCATTTTAGAAAGCTTGTTGAAGTTTGCTCTGTTTTTGCTATGTTAGGGTTTTAGAAATTTGTTAGGATTTTCGTAGGTGCATGCATCTATGATGCGATGAGTTTAACTTTTGTTTTGACAATTCTCTTGCGAATTCGTTGAATGACAGGGAAAGAATTCAGATTGGTAGTCTAATCAATTAGAGCTCTTCTCTCGCTTGTGGATTAAGAAGGCGAAGAGCTTTGACCGCTTGTGAGAGAAGATCTGTCGTCTAAGGTTTTCAAAGAAGCTGAAGAAAAGGAGTGCAGGATAGGCTTTGGTGGTATCCAGTTGCAATGGATTTGGAGCTTGAAGAGCTGCAGAAGCTTTTTGAGCAAACTCAGAATGCCAAGGCCAAGGTTCGTCTCTCGGAACGAAATGTGGTGGAACTTGTGTCCAAGCTCCAGGCGCTCAAGCTCTTGGATAACGACCTGCTTCATACAGTCTCTGGAAAAGAGTACATTACTCAGGTTAGAGGATTACCTTTCCCCAATTCCATCATCGCGACAACTAGTATGGCGTTGCGAGACACTCTCACCATCGAGTCACAGATTGTCGATTGTAGGATATACTTTAGGTCTTTAGCAAGGGCCTTACCGTACAGAGTTCTTGCCACTTCTGTGAGGTGATTTTGTGAAACACAAGCATTCTGACGTATGTTCTCTTAACCATTCTCTTAGCGACTTGTATGGATCAATGCAGGACGAATTGAAGCGTGAGATTGAATCGGAAATCCAGCGGCTTGGTCGAGTTTCACTAGTGGACCTATCTGGCACTCTTGGTGTAGAATTGGTACATTGTGAAAGACAAGCTCAGCAGATTGTGCAAAACAATCCCTCGTTATCTTTGATGCAAGGAGAAATTCTTTCTTCCGGTTATTGGGATTCCATTGCAGAAGAAATCAATGAGTCGCTGGAAGTCGCTGGCCAGATTTCAATAGTAGAGCTTGCGCGTCGGTTTACAGTCGGAGCTGAGCTGATGACCAATGTTTTGTCTGCTCGTTTGGGGACATCGGTAAGTGGTTGCATTTGAGATAGCAAATTGGGTGCTCATTGGCATCAATTTTGGTTGCCGCAGAGACCACTTTTTGTGCAAAATGCTCAGGTAGATATGTGTTGCCCCACGTCATGCTTTAGTATTGTTGAATTGAGCACATTATACACTGAGAGTCATTGCTGCATATCACAGATCCATGGAAAGCTGGAAGGGGGTCAGCTATACACTCCTGCATTTGTTGCACGGATTCGGGCGACTGTTCGAGGCGCTGTTCGGGCTATAATGGTTCCAACATCAGTCTCTACTCTCTCCAGCTTTCTTCAACAGCAAATGCGAGAGGTTGACGAAGGACCTATTACTAAAGTGACTGCAGATGGAGGTCTTTTCCAGTCAGTTCTTAATCAGCTCATAGCGGATGGAGAAGTGAAGGGCTCACTTCGAGGTGGAAACGCTGTCTATACGCCTGCGGTATGTGGCTTTTTTGGCCACGTTTTCTGAAATTTATTTTCATACTTGAAGATCCTTTTTTAAATCCTATGAGTTAACTAAGTTTATATAATAGAATTTAAACGATGTCTTTTGTAAAATTAGTCTTGTGCTCTCTGATCTTCTTCGTTTTGTTTAATGTGCCCTACGACGCGCCCCCCTCCTACCCGCCGGTGGAACAGATTTATCTTGGCAGTAGAATTTTGCATGTTTTGAAATGAAACTGGATTATCCGACTTAAACCTATAAATAACTTGGTCCAAGCTGTTGATCTCAAGTCTCACCAGCAAATAAACACTGGTCAGATCTGAATACCTTTGGTTCGTTACCCAGGTGTTTGCAGGAGCACAGAGGGGTAGTGTGGAAGCATTCTTCTCGCAGGTTTGTTCCTCTTTCTTTCAAGACATCAACAATTTTATGATGTTAGACATCAACAAGTATTTAACTTCAGTAGAAAGCTTCTTGCTATGTTATCTTTAGTTTGATTTGTGTTGTCCAGAAGTGCTACTGATTAACTTGAGGATTTGAACAGAACGGCTACATTACTTTTGATACACTGCGGAAGCTGAATGTGCCTCAACCGAAGCAATATCTACAGGTTTTCGCTTTATCATATGGTTTGACATCATGTTTTGACTAGAAAAATTCTCGTTTTTCATGTGACTAATCTTCAATTGCTTGTATTTCCAAGTTAGGTTTTTGATCTTACAAAATCTACTTCCAGGGAATTGTTAGTTTCTGATGTTTAATAATGTTATCAAGACAAGCGGTTTAAATCCTTCTTTATTGACTTGCAGGAAATGTACAAGGATGGGGTTGCTCTGGAGGATGTCTTCGTTCACTCTTCACTCATCAGCCAGTTGGATGCGGCGGCAGAGGAGGCTATTGCTGGAAAGTCATGGTAAATGATTTTTCAGCTTCGTTTTGTTGGAAAAGTGGACAGAAGAAGTGTTGGAGGTTCCAGCAGGAGCAGAGCAATTTCTCGTCAAAAAAGATGGGCTATTTAATTAAGCTATTTATGATGTTCACGACTTGATCCTTGTTCACGTCGTGTTAAGTTAGCTTTACATATTTTATTGTGATATTTGTGGATTGGGATTCACTCATACAATTTATACCTGCAGGTTTGACGTTTTGCCACTGGTACCTTCATCCATTGGACCTTCAGATGCAGAAAAACTGGTGGTACTCTGTCCTACTGTTCAGAAAGCCCTTAAGGTAAGAACATCTAACAATTTGCATCAAATCTTATGAATGTTTACTAATGAGTACTAGTAATTTCTTAGAAACTATTGTGGTTAATAGAGAAGACGCCACAGGTGGTCAGCCTTTTGTCTCGTCTTAGCTTGTTATTAATACTAAGGTTATTAGAATTGTTACTTGCTACTCATCTGTTGCCTTTAGTTTTGAGTTTGCATGGAACTGTAGATTTCGCAGCTTCGATTTTCCTTTGACTTAAACAATGATTTTTGGAGTGAATTGCTTTGTACATTTGTCACGGAGAGTTACTGTATTCAACATTTGCTTTTCCATGTTGTTCCAGGATGGAACCGCTGTTATTCTGGCTGATACTTGTGTCCTAAGTGCTACGTTCGTTAAGGTATAGTAGATTTCATTCATACCTTAGTCACTGTTCTGTTTTCGTCACCCTACAATTTATACTGTTTCTATTTTTAGATCTGTCGCTTTTGTTTCCACTTTTCATTTCAAAGTGTAGTGCTATTTGTGAAAATATTTGGATCCCAACCTGGATCACCAGGACCTAACAATCTCTTCTTTTGGTCAGGATCTTCTTGAGAAATTAGAGAATCTGGCTCGTGATCTGACCAAGAAAAGGGTGGAAAACAAGAAGTTTAACAAAGTAAGTACTCAGTCTCTTTCTGAAGGAGTCACTGGAATTTCTACAACAGATACTGGTACAGAAGATGCCTCTGGACAGCTCAAAGGAGGAAGACGAAAGAAAGGCAATCAAAGCAACGGAGCAACTCGACCAGCACCAGAGATTGAGGCGGTTGTCCCAAAAGAGGGGAAGGGCAAAAGACGGGCTGGTAAATCAAAGGGAGAGAAGGTTTCTGGAGAAGCGGTCGCTGGTGTGTCGAAGGGGTTCAAAAGCGGAACAGGACCAAACTCAGCAAATGATGAGGACAACATATTTACTGTGGAGTTTCTGACTTCTAAAATTCTGGAGTGGTTTCCAGACTTGGAAAGTGCGGGAATCGGTAATGATCTTTTCCAGTCTGGACATCTCATTGCCGAGTCCTGTGGGAGATGTGGTGCTTGTACTTGTGTGGGATAGCTTATGAGGACAAAGCACTGATTCTATAAGTATCAATACTGTGTGTCAAATTTTGAAAGAGCTATATTTTAATTTCCAGCGCAGGGATGTTTCAGGTCGAATTCCTAATATCCATGTTTGTTTTCTGCAGCAGAAGAAGAAGTAGAAGAAGGCATTCTTGTAAAAGCCTTAGCAGATTTGCTCAAACCCAAGGTGATGGCTGCAGCAATACATGCAAAACAGGCATTGTTCTCAGCCCAGGCAGAAGACCGTCGACGTCGCCTGGACACCTTGCAGCATAAAATCGACGAGGCAAGTACTCCATTTTTTTGCTTGCCATGGGTGAGGGTCGTGAATGTGATACAGTTGCATCTTTGTTACGATATGATGTTAGTTAATTTGCTGAGCTCAGCAGCTGATCATGCTTTGATCAATCTTGCAGATCTATTCGAATTTCCAGCTGTTTTCCAAGGCACTTAACCTTTTCGAAGACAATGAAAAAACTGGAGTAAGTACCATTTAATTTTATGAGCAGATAGGAAGTGCAGGTGACAATCATACAATGAAGGTTTTGATTTGTTGGAAGTGATAGAGACATGGATCTATCCTCATTTTTTTGTATTAGTTTGTTCTGTGCTTCATCACATACCAATAACTTTACATGATTCATTGGGTTCCTTTGCACATTCACATTGGTATTTTTTGTAACTGGTACAACTGCTGTCATTGCAGAAGTATCTCTTTAACTTAATTTGCCTTCACTGTTCTTCCTCAGGTGTTGCTGCATCGACATCTCTTGCGGACAACAGGAGCTGAATTAGTAGATTTATTTCTGATTGCCCAGGTAGGCCTTTTATGCACATGTCGATGTTCTATTTGATTGCAAATGACGGTGAGAGCTTTAGCTGGTTCTGATTGTTGTATTTGTCATGCGAGGATGCAGGCAGAAGACGATATAGATGATAAAGAAGTGGGCATAACAGCTACCAAAGAAACAGAGCTCTTGAACACCTCTCAGAGAACGGCCATGGTATGATGTCGTTAGTACTTTTAGGCGAGAAATTTGGGTCGATTTCAAGTTTCAATGGTGATACTAACAGATACTTTTTAAAGTAAATTTGATGGTATCAAACGCTCAGGACATCATGGCATTAGCGTGAAAACTATTATTTTCTCCATGTACGACAGTCGCTAAACAATTCTTTGTCGCGAAGCTCAAGTCTTTCAAGTAAATTACTTTATTACTTGCTCCATGTATGCATCAGACAACTTAATAGTTCATGTGAAGGGTCTTTGTAATACTGAAGCCTTGTACATAATTTTTACTGCTTGTTAACAGTTTTTTGATATGTTTTCTGTTGACGACAATGCAGGCTAAGTCTCTGCCAGCGCGCAATTTATCTTCGAAGGCTTTGGAGCTCGTTGAAAGTTTGGAAGCGAAGGTGTCCATATTTGTTAGAGTTTGTTTAGAGAAATCTAAAAAAGGAAATAATTTATCAGAATTAAATGATGATGCTTGATTTATGTGCCACATCCATGTTTAATTATCTTGGCTTGTATTTCAATATTAAGAATGTAAGGGTGTATTTATGCAGAATGTGGATGCTTTTGAAAGGACATTCGAAGCTGCTGTGACTGAGAGGTACTGTTTCAATCGTTGGCCATCCGTCGAAATGGGTGCAGGAAGCTGAGCTGGTCGAACATATTATTTTCGTGTCAGTTTCAAGTGATTATAGAAGCAATAAGTTACTTTTGCGAAGGAAAAAAAGAGAAAGACTAATTGTTCTTATGTCACGTGTTGGATTACAGTGGCTTGCGGGTGAAGAAGCTTGACAAAAAATCTGAGAGGGCCTTGATGTTCTCCTATCGTAAGGTAAAATTTGACGTGAGTTGGGTTTGGCTGTGCCTTCTCACGTCTCTTGCACTTTTGTGCGTATTAGAATCTTCTATTTCTTGAATCAATGTTAAGTTATCAATAGCACTTGCACAACCTATGGAGATGTAGTGTTAAGCGTGTAACAAGGGATGCTTGGTGGTGATACAGGGTCTGACATCACAAGTTGGGGATGAGACTGATTCTGTAGCATTGTTACCAAAAGTTGTGGGCCTTCTATTTGTTCAGGTGAATATCTCCTTTCCATTCTCTATTTCAATTATAAGTTTTGATCTTCTTACATTTCTTTGTCATTTATTGTTCGTTACAGTGCTGTATTTATCCTCGATGCACTGTGACTGGTTATAATCCTCTTGAATTGCCACAGGTTCATAGTCGTGCTCTCCAGGCACCAGGCAGGGCTATGTTAGCAGCTATCATGCGACTAAAGGTTTGTATTCCACAATTTTCCACATTATTTTTATTCAAAGCAGTTCAGGGCCATCTTCTGAGAGTCTCTTGGTTAACTTAAACCTCGGGTACTACCATATAAGGTGGATACGAGAAGGATGCCAGCTGGTTACTTGTGTGCCAAGTTGTTACAAATTGTGCGTTGAGGCCTCGAGTTCTTATGTCCCTACTTGTATCTAAGAGTGCCATGGTTCCTGGACAATACTTCCGAGTTGATGTAGACAATTCTTCTGCTTGGGTCAATCAATTTTTATATAGTGTGTGGCTCCAAAGAACCAGGCGTTACAATGCGCCTAGAAAATCGAGTATGCAATTCATATCACGTCTGTGTTTTCTGAGGTCACCCATAGCAAGTGACGGGTTAAGGAATCTTAGGAGAGCTACTCAAGTATAAGCATACATGATGCGCCAACTTAAGATGTATATGTGTTCGTGATGCTTTCTGAGTACAGGGATCGATTCCTGATGAATTGTTTGAGGTCTTAATGGCGTATCACAACGGCACCGTGCAGCTTCTATCTTTGCAGACCTCGGCCAACTTAGAGGTTCACCCCTTTCCCTTTCACGCAATGGTTTCCTTTGTTCCTATGTAGATATAATTATCTTTTATGCCATTTCTTTCTAATCTTCAAAGAGATCATTGTTAACTTGAAACAGGAAACTGATGCTTCTAATGAGACTATCACGAAACAAGAGGAGTTAAAGACGCTTATTCCTCAGTTAAAGTCGATGGTATTACCATCTTCGTCATCTGCTTCGACCACTAACGACAAGCAACAACAATGACGCTCTGCCTTAAGAGCTCATCTGTATCTGGATCAAAGTATACTTCTTCGGGAGAGGAACAAAAGAAAAAAGGCCTGCTTCTACACGGTACAGCTAGCCTCTGATAGCAAATTGCATGGTATATCTGAATCAAACTGGTTACATGGGTTCATACTGCGGTATAAACCTACGTCAAAATCTGCTTTCTCGACTTATAATAATAAGTTGATGTCTACTCTCTGGTATCTTTGTGTGCGGGGCAAATGGTTTAGGGACATTTGACTTATAAGTGATTGTAATGCAGACCATCGGGGAACTAAAATTCATGCGCCATTCATATTAGCTGAACACAGAAAGGTATGCTAGCTAAAGAATGGCTGATGCAGGATCCTTCACTTTCCTGCTAGAATAAGTTCTGACGGGAGGCTCCGTAGATATGACAATTCAGTGTGAGAGGGCATTGTGTGCTTGTCGTCGCTATCGAGATTTTCCATGTAAACGGTTTGAACCTTTCGAAGAATGTAGGCTGGAGAGCCAGATTTCGTCACATGATTCGCTGCATAGGAAAAATTAAGCCACTCCTCTGCTGTTCCTGCAGGTACCATAGAAAATGATCGTTTGCTGCTGGAGTGCGAAGTCGTTTTAAAGACATCTCGTGAAGCGGGTCTCCGTGGTCGCCACTAGCACTTCATTTAAACTGGCATGCATACCTTTCGCAGATGACATGGCTTTTTCTTGCTTGCTGGGACTTTTACTGGGTTGATTATACCCTCGATCAACACATCCTTAAACTTCATCCATTAATCCTAAGTGTTTTTCTTCTTCTTTCTTCCCCTTGTTCATTCAATTTTTTCTTTTATTTCCCTTCGTGACTAGACGTTGTTTTGTGTGGATCAAATGTTTTGGACCAAAGATACTGCATCTATTCTTCTACTTCCAATTGATCTCAGAGATAACTGTCCTGGTTTTGAAAACTTCTCTCATTAGTCTAAGTCAAAAGCTCCCAAATATAGGTGGACATTAGTCTCAGTTTCCTTTGGTCCTCTACATGGAATCATCGCTGCCCATGTAAGTTATTTGGCCTACATTCTTCAGCTTTTCACGTAGCATGTCTTAACAGAAAAATCAGACACTGTTGGGGGCTTATCTGGAGTTGAAACTAATTACCTCGACTTTTCTGCTATTGAAGGAGAACCCTTTCTCATGTACCTAAAGTTACTGGTAATTTTGACATGTACTTATTGGCACAATCCAGTGTCATGTCATCCTACAGGTCATCTGGGGGCCCCCTTCATGCATCATTCATTTGATCCATCGGTTCGTTCACCCTGCTACCCCTCTTTGCCTCAAAAGGCTCTTAGCTGAATGGGCACCAGGGTGAATCAAGCCTCAACAGGTCAGGTACCAGAAACAGTTGTATGCAAGACTGTCATGAGATATTGACAGTACATACTAGCCACCAGTGCAGCAGCAGCAGCACACAATAATCTAGTCAGGAGAAACTTTTATCCACATTTCCAGGTGTAAAGAAGAATAATTATGGTAATCTTGGTGTACACTCAAGAACACCAATAAACCTGCATCTGTGTACTCAATCTCCCCCTTGAAGATGGCCAACAACAGAAAAAACTACAGGGGCCATACACTGCTACAATACCTTGGCCTTACTGGCTCAACACTTCACCTGGGAGTGGAACACTTTTCCCCCTTCTTTCCAACTCTTGCATACAAAGAGGGGTCAAAAGCTAAAACTACAACATAATTTCCACCATTCCTCACAACGAATGGCTTCAATACAGCACTCTGAACCATCCAAAAATTGCCCAACATTACCTTGAAAAGAGTGAAAGCTAAGAAGCAAGAAGAGAGTCAGTGAATGAGTGAGTCTGTCTGTCTGTCTTGCAATTAACAGGGAAAAGGAGCTATGCATTGAAAGAGGGAAAGAGGAAGGCATGATGCGTGGGAGTGAGGATGATTGTGTGATTTTCTTTTTCTTTTTCTTTTCTTTATGGGGGGGGGGTGTTTATCTGCAAAATTGTTGATTGATTCATTGATTGTATTGGCATGTGGATTGTATGATAATCATACCATCATGGGATAAGAAAGAGGGTGCCACCAACTAAACATGATTCATGCTGGTGGGGATATGTATTGCAGTCTCCATTATGAGAGCCAGCCCCTCACCACAGCCTCATTTGAATGCATGCATCCCCCCCCCCAAAATACCCACAAAACCCACAAAAACCTGTCCTAATTTTGTCTTTACTTTTAGGAATTCTGCACGACTTTTTAGTAAAATCAGCTAAACTTTCACTTGTTGGGGGGGGGGGGTATTGAATATGGTTACCTTTGCAACCCTAACTCAAGATTTTTTATTTTTTATTTTATTTTTATTTTTTCTCTTCCCATTTTGTTTCTTTTTGTTTATGCATGCATAAAATTGATGTGGAAGATTAGATGATAATTCATCACAGGTCAGCTCAGAGTTGATGTTGATCTATTGGATCCTTCACAAGTGAATGAAGAGTTTCTGAAAATGTATTGGATAATGCAAGTTTGGTGTTGTGCACTAGAATATTAGTGCCTTTGGATGAAAGTAGGGGTCTTGTTCAACATCCTTCTGTAAAAGGATGTTTAACATAATTTAATAGTAATAATAAATTGATGCTCCAAACATGAGTTTCTTTTTCTTTTTCTTTTTCCATTAGAATTTAGAGATTTGATGTTCTAGAAGATGCTTAGAGGAAAACTAAGGTTGCTTGGTTAATTAATTTGAAGACCAAGTTGATAAGTTTTTAAATGAATATGCTAGATCCATCAAATAAAATAAATAAACTGAATGAATGAATGAATGCAATTCAGAACATGCCCTGATAATTGCAGTGGCAAGTATTTATTTTTTTTTAAATACTGTTGCAAATCAGCAATTTGGTGTGCTATAGGAAACATTAGTAAGGATAACATATTTAGAAAATGAAATTGATTTAATTATTTTCCTTTGAGGTAAATTTACTGAAAGGAAGATATTTCAAAATACAAACTTTATATATATATATATATATATATATGTGTGTGTGTGTGTGTGTGTGTGTTTCAAATCAGAAAATACAGATTACTTCAACTACAACATCTTGAAATTATTTTATTAAAAAATAATGATCATTTCTTTATTTAACCAACTCGAAAGTTATTATGAGAATTATAGTCAGTATTGAATTATGGTCAAATTTGACCTTTCATCTTTTAAGTCCAGTGCTTGCAATGAACAATTTTAGTATACTCTTACTTTTCAAATAGTTAGTCAAAAATCTAAATTCAAACATTAATTTAATAATAAGTTGGTTCATGTTTGTATTCTTCTAAATAAAACGGGAAGACATTTCATGAACCAAAACTACTTTCAATTTCATTAAATTATTTTTTAGGTTTGTATTTAAAAGGAATGTTATTTGATGCAAGTGTTCTTCTCTAAAACATGAAATTGAAGTCCATGCTTCTTGTTACTATTTTTTGTTGATGGTCAATCATCAAAAAGATGTCTCAATTAGATTCTAAATTTTCATTCTCATTTTTAATCTTTAAAAGAATATCATTCAACATATATATACTCAAGAAACAATTACACATCAACTTTTTTAAAAAACGCAATCTAGTTTTTCACATTTTCCAGCAGACTAATGGAAACACAACTAAAATCGCATAAAAATATATGTACCTTAAACCTAAATTCAATTTATTCAGAATTATATATATATATATATATATATATATATAAGAAAATAATGCTTCACTAAATCATCAAAACAAATATCACAGTAAAAAGAAAGTGTGTAATTCCTTATACATAGAAATGTTGAATATCTAACCACAAAATTCATGTCAAATGTAAAAACATTTAATTTCATTTCCTCAAAAACCAGTTTTGCCAGCACTCAGATTAAAACCAAGTCTTATTGCAAATGTAACTGTCACATCATGTAGTGTGGCAATGAATTTGAATTTGATTTGCTTCCACTCATATTGTTTCAAAGCACATCTTCCAAAAGATTTCTTTTATGTTGCTCGAGAAAATGATAAATAATAAAGGAGGTAATAAATAAATATATATATATATATATATATATGATTTTTAGCAACAAAATATAGGGCCATATGTCCATAGAGCAAAGGAATTCCCACATTGCTTGTAAACACCTCTTCTTACATTAAATCAAATACTTTAAAATTTTACATCTAAGCCAATATTGTCAATTTTTAGAAAACATATGTTAACCACCATACATGTAATTATCTTTACAACTAAAAGCATGGCTAACATTGGCATTGTTTGATAGTATCAAAAAGATCAAGTCCATGGGATGCATCCTTCTATAAACAAAACATACCTCTAAATGCCCAAAATGTCTTTACAAGAAAAATATCCAATAAAATTCTCTCTCTCTCTCTCTCTCTCTCTATATATATATATATATATATATATATATATATTCACACACACACACACACACAAATGTGAAAGAAAATATTTATTTATTTATTTGTTTGTTTGTTTGTTTGTTTTCAAGATATGCAAAGAAAGGTGAAATTTGTGCATGGAGTTCATTTGGAATTTTCTTTGTTGAAAGAATACTTTCATTTAGAGAAAAATCTCTAAGTGGACCAAGGTGTAGGTGAATTTTAAATGACTTCCCTACATTTTAAAGGCCAAATGAAGTATCACATTGTGTCTCTAAGTCATCTCCCTGCACTTAATGTGTGCTCCAACTTAATAATTGAACTTGTATTTCTATGAAGTCCATTTCTATAATAGAGATATTATTGGTATTGAGATTCAAATATATGATTATATATATGTATGTGTATATATATATATATATATATATATATTATAAATCCTTGTTTAACCCATCTCCTGATGAAGTTACTGCAATCCCAAATTCATGTCAAACTAAATATCACTTGAAGTGCCACTTGAACAGTACCAGAATTAAATTAAGTCGTTTTTTAATATTTAGATGAAAGAGCTGGGTTCCAGAAAAGTCGATAAGATTGGTTGAACACAAAAAAAGTTATACTTCACAAGAGGATTGAGAATGAAAAAATTAAAATATGTAAAAATTGTCTGACCAATCATATTCAAATTCTAAGATATTTTGAATTCTTGAAATATAATTTGGTTTCAGAACCAGAATACTTCGTAAGTTTTAAGTTTTAAAAAATGAACAAAACAAATTCCAAGGTAAATATTAAAAGATTATATATATATTTTCCTATTGCCAGTGAATATCTGGGTCGCGTGGCCTAATGGATAAGGCGCTCGCCTCCGGAGCGGGAGATTGTGGGTTCGAGTCCCACCGTGATCGGGTTGCCTCTATAAGAATTTAAGATCATAGGAAATCTTTTGAAAGAAAGCGTAGGGGGGGGGAGGGTGCGTCCGAGGGGGAGTTGCATTGATGTAAGGCAGCAGCATTTAATTGTTGTTGATTCCCTTCCTTCTGCTCTTCGGTCATATCATCTTCCTCTTCTTATTTCTCTTTGTTTCCTTTTTCCCCCATTTAAGCATTACACAGTTGATACAGTTCCAGTCCAGGTGGGTTTGGAAGGCAGAGGAATCATGGAGAAGAACTAACAGGGTTCGGGGGGATATAATAATAATAAGAAGAATTAAACAATAAATAAGCCATGTAAACCCCTCGGAAGAACTACTTTCATCACAAGGGCTCCAATGCATGAAGAGGACAGTATGATATATGAAAATATAGAATGTATATATATATATATATATATATATATACACAATAAAACTTATTCTCATCTTTCCAGCTCAAATGATGCCCTGCCTGCCTGCACAAATATAGGTGTGAGCCTTTGTGGCTGTGTAAGCCTGTCTGTGCAGAATCAAATGGATGAACAGAATAATGTTGGGGGGGGCACTCTTTT